TTTTTTTTTTTTTTGCAATTACAATGTTGCTTCAACCTTTCTCCCTCCTGGGATCTTTCCCTTCTCCCTATTATCTGTATTTCTGCAAAAATGTATCACAGTGGCATGTTGAGGGGAAGAGAAAATAGCATTAGCAGAAACATAGTGTTCAGGATAAATCAACCTTAGGGAATCAAATTTGAGGTGAGGCTGAGAGGTGTGTCACAATGTAGTGGCACCTCCTTGTAAGGATGGCCTTAGACCTGAGCCTAAGCGACTCCATTTTAAAACCCCAGTTTGAAACCTGCAGTCTCACCAGGCACACCTACGGAGCCCTCCAGTGTGGCCCCAGGCACAGACAAGTCACTTCTCCTCACTCTGGTAAACTCAGTGTGAATCCTCTGGCAGGTTGTCCTACCCTGATAGATCAGGGTGGGACCTCCGGACCAGATGTTTTAACCTCAGGGTAAATGACATTCACTGACAGACCTGGTGGCAGCTGATAGGGATTGAAAGGGGGGTCAAAAGTCCCCAAATTTGGTATAAATAGTGGAGCAAATGAACAGACATTCAACCAGGCGACACTGACGCCCTCACTCTGGGAGCCTGAGGAGGACCTCGTCAGACGTCCCAGCTCCTCTCCTCTGCCTGCTCCTCTGCTGTTCCCGTGGCTCTCAAACTCTGCAGCAGCCTTTGACTCTGGTGAGAAAAGCACTTCTCCCTAAGACCATCTCCTCAGCCAGCCTCAGCTCCAGCCCAGGAGAAGCCTGCCTGGGTTCCCGACCTGCTCACCACGGTCTGAGTGAGTGTCCATCTGCTGGACTCAGAGCCTGAAGCTTGAGACTTCTGATCTGGCACTTGAACTGAGCATGCAGGGGAATGTCTGTCATGGGCTGTCATGATCAGGTGTGCTTGCAGTGCTTAGAGTTAATCTAGAATTGTTTGCTGTGGATTGATTATTTCTATCGCAGTGCGTAGCATTAAGGATTGTCATTTTTCTTGACTAAGAACCTATAGAGTAAAATTGTATTGAGTGATTTGAGTGAACAAAGCATTGAGAAAGGCAGAAGTGCATGGACATTCTTTATTTCTCAAACTTGACTGCATAAGTCGCACCTTTTGCCCACCGCAACACCCCTTTCTCCACAGAAAATCTTAAATAAGCTTCTCCAGAAATCTTCACCGTAATTGATGTTAGGACTATCAACAGAAGAGTCTACAAAAGAGTTCAACGTGGGTAAATTTCCTGTTGCTCTATTTTACTTGGCCACTGGCCTGGAAGAAATCAGCATTCCAGGTGCCAAAGGCCCCTTTACTAGTATTTCACATTTATCCAGTAGAGTAGAAGTGTGTTTGCAAATGCAAAGTGTGATTAAAAAAAAAAAAAGACAAATCCTTTAACTTTCAAGGCCTCTGGCCTTGAGCTGGGCTTCATGGAGATGTCTGCATTTCTAAGACGAGAGAAGTTACCCACTGGGCACCATGGTAACAGCTGGGGGGGGGGAAGAAAGGGGAGGAGAAGCTCCCCCCTTCTCAGGTGCTGTCCTTGAAGGGTTAACTTGCCCAGAACAGCGAAAGGAAGAGCTGCTTTATGTGGACTTCTGCAGACTGTGAGCTTCTGAGCCCTCCCCTGACGAGTTGGGTATAAAGCTCTGAAACTACCTG